GCAAAGCTACATAGAGAAACCCTGTCTCGAAAAACCAAAAAAAACAAACAAACAAAAAAAAAAAAGTGTGTGACTGATGCAGTGGCAGCAGTATGCTTGCATTCACAGCGTTAGGCGGGTGTGTGTTTATCCACCCAAGTACAACACAGAACCTTATGCAGGGATCAGAAGAATAGTGATAGAAAGAAGGCAGGGTTTTTTGTTTTTTATGTATATGAATGTTTACCTACATGTATTTATGGACAAGATGTGCACGCGGTACCTGCAGAGGGCAGAAGGAGGCATTGGATCCCCTGGAAATAGGGTTAATATTGTAGGTGCTGAGAACTAAAGACTCTTAACTGTAGTGAGAAAGTTTCTCTGGTCCCACTAGGCCCCACACGGTCCAGACAAATCTCTGTCACCAGCAATCCCACTTGGACCCAAGTAAACACACAGAGGCTTATATTATTTACAATTGTATGGCCTAATGGCTCAGGCTTCTCACTAGCTAGCTCTTACAACTTAACCCATTTCTATTATCTGTAAGTTGCCACATGGCCGTGGCTTGCTGGTATTTTTACATCTTGCTTCTTTAGATCTGCCTTTCTCTTTCCTGTCTCTCTCCTTGGATTTCTCGCCTGCCTCTAAGCTGCCTTGCCATAGGCCAAAGCAGCTTATTTATTAACCAATGGGAACAACATATATTCACAGTATACAGAAAGACATCCTCCAGCACTTAACTGCTGTGCTACATCTCCAGACCCAGATGACAGTTATTTAGAGGTTAAGAGGATATTAGGAAGAATTAGTCATTTATGAAGTTATTCCTGTACACATGATGTCCTTTGGTTATCATGTGTTTACAAAGTTCTTAGTACATCTGAGTACCATGCTGAGCACATCAGAGACCTCAACTCCTTCAAGGCATATACAGTCTATGCAGAAAGAAAATTCTGCTATAACCTCCAGCCAAGTGCAAAGTTATTCCTCTAACAAAGTTGTTTAAGGAAATTTCCTAAAATACAATCAAGTAATTGATTCCATAAGTATTTATGAAATTGTCAAACACTGTTCTAGGTGATCACCATATTTAACTAAGCCAAACACACAATGCTAGGACTCTTCTTTCAAGTTGTTTCTATCCTAGAAAGAGAAAAAATTTGAGTTTTTTTTTTGAAAGAGAGAAGTTCCAAATAGCTTAGTGAGTAAGAGGCAAAGTGTTAATGCCTCCTGCTAGAGGACAGAGCAGTTAGGTTGGATTATGAGGCATCAAAGAAGGAAGAATATATTATATACTTTTTCATATTAAATACAACTCAGGAAAAAAAGACAGATGACTCATTTTCTCCAGAGATGAAGGGATGAGTGTGTAATGATGCATCCTGAAGCACTTTGTTGTGTTTGGGTATGTTGATGTATAGCTGGGGTTTCTAAGGTATGACACTGATAGTTAGACTAGAGTCTATGAGCTCTTAATGCAGAACTGGAGAACTGCCACTGTGTTTGGAAAATAGAGAGGAATCAGAGAATTAAAACAAGAATGATAGCATCATGATGGATGTTGTTTCCAGAAGAATGAGTCTGGTAGCGTCATGGATGCAACAGAAAGGAATCAGAAGCAAAGACCTCTTTCACCAGTCTAAGACAAAATGTGCCAGTGAGTCTGCTGGAGCCTGCAGAGATGAAGCTGATCCTCATAAACTACCCCTCATAGCTTGTGACCTTGTCCTTTGTAGGGCACCAAAGTATGGATGATGCATATTCTGTGCAGCGAGGTTTTGTCCCTCCACACCTATCCCCTGAGGATGCTCTTAGTCTAGGAGGTGCAGTAGCAGAATACTTTGGGACTTACACTTCATGGTCCCCACCCATCCGTCTGTGCAGTCCTGAGCCACAAAGGACTCAGCTCAGAACAATGTGCTATCATGGCGTCTCTGCCTCTCTGTTCACATTTGACCTCCAGGAAAATGAGGGGGAGGTTGACTCCCTGCAACTTACTCCCTGTTATCTCCACGGTTGTTCCTGCACAGCTGTCCAGTCACTGTCTGCTGGAGAAATGAGAGTGGCAGGGGACAATGAGGGGACACTGCAGCTTTGCCAGAGCTGGTGATGCTCTTGGGAGGGAAGGGAAATCATCGACTCTGGTAGAGCGAAGGCAGCCATGACCGGGTAGCCCAGGCAGGGAACCATCTCCCAGCAATGCCAAGTGGTAAAGCGCGGGCAAATTTGCATACCCAAGCCCCGGGGGCCATTGGGAAGCAGGAAAAGGAGAAGCAGAGGAAGAGTAAGGCACTCACACAGACAGCTGTAGGTGGGTCCCAGACCTCCAGAAAAGGGACTGTCAGGTAATGACTGAAGAATGGAATGGAAGACTCATCTGGAGCTGGCACCGAACTCCCTCCTCTGTCTTTTTTTTAGGCCTTCATTTGTTCTAAGTCTGTTTTCCCTTTGCTGGGTTGTTGTAGAGCTCTGTTCAGGCCAGCTGCACTCATTTCCAACGCATCAGTAAGATTTGTACTGAAATTTCACAGTGACGCGGTCAAGGGCTGTCAGGATAACTAGAAACGGTATGAACTGTGAGAGCTGTGTGGCTTCCTCTGACTTCCTTCCTCCAGTGTACTTACTTATGGATATTTGTCCTTCTCACTGGCCCTGCTTTACACTGTGTAGCAGGCTCCTATTTGTCCACTGAACCTCAAAATAGAAGCCTTTGGCTTCCTTCTCCGATGGAGTATGCTTTGTCTTTTATTTACAGCAATTACAAAGCATTTTGAACCTTTGGGTCTATGTTGTCTACAATTAGGCCTGAACATCAGGGATGCCTGATTCTTCCTTGTTTTCCCCATAGCAAGTAGTATAGCCCTTGGTGCATTCAAAACATACAATATATGAAGGGGCAGCCAACACATACAATG